CATTTATTTATTTTGGTACCAGGGATTGGACCCAGGAGCACTGAACCACTGAGCCACATCCCTAGCCCTTTTTAATTTTTTATTTTGAAACAGGATCTCACTAAATTGTTTAGGGTCTTGCTAAGGTTGCTGAGGCTGGCTTTGAATTTGCAATTCTCCTGCTTCAGCCTCCTGAGCTGCTGGGATTACCACACCCGGCACAATTAAGTATTATTTAAATGAAAATGTGATAGAAAGAAATTAGTTATTAAGTCACAGAAAGACATGGATGAAACTTAAATGCATAGTGCTAAGTGAAAGAAGCAAGACTGAAGAAGCAAGTCTACATACTGTATGATTCTAATCGTATAACATTCTGAAAAAGACAAAGCTACAGAGAAGGTAAGATCAGTGATTGGCAGAGGAAAGAAGGTTGACTAGGTGAATTGAGCACAAGGTTTATTTTATTGTTTTTTTAGCATGGCAAAACTATTCTGTGTGATAATATCAGGGTGGATATATAATGCTATGTATTTTTCAACACCTATAGAACTTTACATAGAGTAAAAATCCAGTGGTCAACCTCCTAGCTATTTAGAAAAGTGCATGGAATTTTTAAAAAAATTTAAGTCACTTAAAAGTTCAGGAGATCCTAATATGGAATGCAGACTGTGACAATCTAACTATATTACAAAAGCATGAAACAACTCACTGAAGGGTGTCATGGGAAAGGGGCTGACCAAACTATGAAAATGAGTGGGGTCTGTAAGAATAAAGGCAAAAGGATCTAGATCTGCATTTAGGCACTATACTCTAGTTGATAAAGTCGTATTCCATGAAGATATGGGTAATAATTCTGATCTTGGAATTAAGCAATTAAGTAAATGATGACAGAGAGTGGAAGGCAGGTTTCTCACTTTTGGGAGTGGGAGTTTATATAAACAAGGGGAGGAGGCTAGAATGACTTATGTGGTAACAAAGTTGGAGACATCAGTATGAACTTGTGTTTAGCTTAATTGTAGATACAGATGGTTACATATAGAAATATTTATCTATATGTGTGGTACAACAGGACAAAATATACACATTTCTTAGCTCTGACAACTCAATCTAGAAGGAATGACTAATCCTGTAGCAATAAGAACACCCAGCATTCATATCTTGGTTTATATTATCATTCTCTTTTAGGAGAAATCAGGCCCATCTGAAAAAATGGCTAATACTAGGGCTGGGTCAAGAAATATAAAAGATGAGGACAGAGTATCTCCATAAATTATTTAGAATTCTTCTACATGGGAGATATGTCTCCTCTGTTTCAGTCATTTCTCTTTATATTTGATTATTCATTTATAAATGGACTCACATATATTTATTTTTTGTTTGGTTATATGTTAATGCTACTTGTTTATTTTGTTACTCAAATTGTTCTACTTTTGGCCATCAAGGGGTTGTTTCATCAATGTGTGAGGAGGTGGGGAGTCATCTCCTTTTCTGGCACCAAAAAAATGCTCCAGAATCAGAGTCTAGAGGTAAACGCATACACCTGTGTCAATTCTCTTGTATTTTTTTCCAATGCTGGGATTGAACCCAGGGTTTTGGACATTCCAGGCAGACACTCTACCACTGAGTTGTTAAATTCCTGGCCAATTTTCAAAAAAGGTGCCAATGTAATTCAATAGAAGGAAGAACATGGGTTCTCACTTCTGATGTTAATTACAAGTTTGGGGGTTCTGTTTGTTCCACAGCTATATACATCTGTCCCAGCAGTGGTACTGTACCTGCTAATCTGGTTGTATCAAGAACTCTTTTCCTTGAGCTAGAAGTCTCACGTTTCTGCAGTATTGGCATATACCAATTACATATCCACACAAGTTGGGTAAAACCCCCATGCCCTTCACATTTCTTGTCAAAATGCCTTCTGAGCAGAAATAAGCAAAACTAATGTGTGATATAGGAAATCAGTGATTTATTTGAGGGGTAATAACTAGAAGGTCAGGGCAGTAACTGTGTGTGTGGGGGTATCTTGGGGTGCCATTCATAAGTGCTCTACCTCTGAATTACATCCCCAACCCTGTTCATATTGTATTTCCTGATCTGGGTGCTGATTACATGGGTAAATTCCTTTCATAAAAAAAATCATCAAACTGTTCACATATGACTAGTTGTTTTAATCTAGGTCATCTGAGAAGCAGATGCCAAAACAGGATTAGATGTACGAAGGACTGATTGGGGAGAAACCTTGCGAATGTACCTGGGAAAGGAATGACAAGAGGCCAAGAGACCCATGAGTAGGATGCAGGTCTAACCCCTGCAAAGAAGAGTGGAAAGGAAAGAAAAAGTAAGAAATGTCTTAAGACTGCTGTGTAGCAGTACAGCCAAAGTCATTCAATAGAGGAGTCTTGAGTCTCCAAGAAACAAGCCTGCCTTAGTTACCCTTGCTGTGTTTAGTTATTGGCTGAGAGCGGCCCACAGAAGTGTAGCATTAACATGGTGATGGATTTTAGAGCACAGCAACTGGTATTATCAGCTACTGTGATCCCCCCAGTTGGAGAAGACTTGAGAGATCCACTTTCTGGTCATCACAGTCTACTCCTTGCACCCCATTTACTTCTCTGTACAAGGTCAGCTCTAAGGGCTTCTCTTCCTGCAGGAAACCTTAGAAAAGGAGATTATTGGAATGAACTATCACCCCCTCCATGGCAGTTGATCCTGGGGTCCCAACTGGTATTCATCTTCTCTCTCCTGCACTATCTATTCCAGATATGACACTCAGCTCTCAACTTAGCAGATCTTGATGACTCACCCAATGATGTAAACCAAATCTCACATCTAAAGATCCTGAATCGTTGGTATTCCAGACTTTTTCGTGTCATGGTATTTCATGCAGCCATTCAGAATTGAAATGGGTGAAGAGAGTAGCAAGAAGGAGCTACATCACCTGGGTTCCACACATATTGCCTCCTGTCCCAATTATGTAAAAGTAGTCCTAGCTATTCCTGCTGGTCAGGGTCAATTACCCTCCTGGCATGTGATTCCTTTTCATTCTAGTCTCCTTGCTTTCTTTTCTAGTACTGGGCTTAAACTCAGGGGTCTCTACCACTGAAATACATCTTCAAACCTTTTTAGTTTTTATTTTGAGACAGAGTCTCACTAAGTTGCTGAGACTTGACTCAAATTTGTTGTCATACTGCTTCAGCCTCCTGAGTAGCTGAGATTACACCATACCTGGCTAACAGTGACTCCTTTTCAAGTCTACTGGACCTGGTTGCAAGGAAGTAAAAGCACCTAGGTGGTAATCATAATTAATAGGTTAAAGGGATCCATTCTGTATTCCCTGGAAAAAGCATGCCACCTTTGGGGACCAGGATCTCCAATCCTATAGAACCCAGAGTTGCGGGATTGAGAAGCACAATAACCCCCCAATGGGTCTTTGGATTAAGTTGAATGACATCCCATTTTTCAGATTATGTTCTTCTTTACAATTTTTAAGAATTCAAGAAAGTAACAAAGCACTGGACCAAGTACAAGGGTCTTGGTGACTGCCCTGGTCACATGCCCAGGACCACTGTGCCTGCCTCTTGTTCCCTTCATAATCCAGCCACTGCTGCCTTCTCAGGTCATCTCTCTCCTCTTTCCCAATCAAACCATTCATGTTCCAGAGGTAATGGACTTCTCAAAGTTCTCTGAATCTTTTGAAGTTCTTGCTGCCTCTGGCCTGAGTGCTCTGCTCCTTCTTATTTGCCAGCTAATCTTCTTTTGTCCTCAGATTTTGTTGTTAATATTGCAGTTCTGGGGATTGAACCCAATATCTTAGGCAAACTAGGCAAAGCAATCTATCACTGAGCCACAACCCAGCAATCCTCAAGAGTCTTTATGAAACACTCTCCTCAGTCTTCTGCCCCACATACCACATGCCCCTGGCTTTCCTCAGATCTCTCTGGCGGTTCCTTCTACCTCTTTGCCAACTCACCCTCTACACCCATATCATTTCATGTTTCATTGTTTGTGGAACTGCTGGGTTTTTATTTTAAAGTAGGAAATAAGACTTAAATTGTTCAAAACGAGCATTTACCAGTACTTAATATATTTCTAAAGGGTGACTTCTATGATCATGACCTTGGGCCAGGCCACATTCATAATGGCCTCAAATGTAAACTTTCAAAGCCTTCTCCAAATGAAGTTTGGAGGCTCCAAGAAAGAAAACACAAAAACCATTAAAATTGTATTTACTACTCAGACCACACCACCTACAACTGGTGGTTTAAAACACAATCAAACTTGTTGCTGGGGGAGGCGGAAATTATTTGTTTTCCTTGATAAAAACTTGTACCACCGAGTACAAATGTCAAAGAAATATTTATGTAATTATCTATTGAAGGACAGAATATGGAATTTCCAGGTACAAATTAAAAGCTCAAATGTGTCAAATATACATTTGAAATATACCACGAATTCCGTAACCCTGCTTGGCCTTTCGTCAAGTTTCAGTGCATTGCTAAGGCTCAGAAAATCGAAGTGGTTCCTCAGGTCTCTCTATCTTTGCGAGGAAAAAAAGTATAATTTTCCTCTATTTTGTCCTCCCAAGTACGAAGGAACCAAAGGGAAGCCCAAAGAGACGAATCCAGCGCAGCCTCCTCTCAGTAGCTCAAGCCGGGGTCCACCAGCGCCTAGCAACCGTTGCCATGACAACCCAACTCACGTCAGGAACTACCGAGTGAGTCACTCCTCTGCATCCCAGAAGGCACCGCGCTGTCTCCAGACCTTCCGCCCCCTTCCATCCCAATATGCAACGGGGCTCACATGGGCAAGCGATCATCATCAGGGTGATTATAAAAATGCCTTAATTTCATCATTTTTAAGCGCTTAAACTGCCATAACAGATTGACGGACGGGAAATATATCAAAATAATGGCCTAAATGATTTAGAGATTTTAGTTATAATTGTCGAGGACAAAATTACACTAATTTCTTGGATTTTCACAGGCATCTGATTGGGCAGCTCTAAAGGACTGACGGCGTGGGGTCCTCGGGGCCCTAGCGGGAGGAAGTGGAGCTGTCTGTCGGTTCCGCGCTTGTCGGCCTCTCAACGTGGAGCCATGGGAGGCTTGGAGAAGAAGAAGGTGAGTGGGTGAGTGAGAGAGACACCAGGGTTCCCGGGGGATTAGAGACTGGGGGGTCGCAGAGCCTACCCTCGTCTCTTTCTCCGGTCTTGTCCCTCGTGGGAACAGAAACGGTAGGATCAAGGTGACGGGAGATAGCTGTGAAAAGGGTTCCAGTATGGGCGAGAATTGCCGTATTAGTTCGGAGAACTGTGAAGTTCTTTTTTGTTGGAAGAATTGTGAGGGTTGATTTTTCTAACTTCATAACTTCACCCCTAAAGTGATATAGGCCTCCAAAAGACCCCTACCATAATTGTAGCCTAAAAGCTTCTCTGCTTTTCAGCAAGATTTTTACAAAGGATGCCAGCAGGATTTTTGCAGGGAGTTCATTGTGGTGTGAAGCTCCTCTTTCTTATAAAAGGTAGGTTTGCAGTCAAGCTTGTTGCTGTGCAAAACAAAGAACAAAAAACAATTTTTTTTTTCTGTTTTCTTTGGTAAAAACGTACGACTGAGCATAAATCTCAAAGAATTTTTGGACCCAGAAATTAGCCCCCTCTTGACCGCTGCAGCTTAAATAAAACTGCTTTCTGCAAATTCCTGGATATCTGACCATAGATTGTTAAATGTGTCATGAAGGAAGCCAAGGAGGGATACGGGTGGATAATGTAAAGATGCTTATTTCAGTTAGCGTTGTCTTAGAAGTTCTCTTAAAGGCACACATTTCAGTTGAAATCTGGAAGATCAGAACACCTTGGGTGGGTTCTGGGACTTGGGAGTGTTTGGCAAGCAAGCCAGGCAGTGAAAACTAACTGCCAAAAGCTAGACATTGACATGCTTGGGATATAGGAAATAAGGGAAAATGGCTTTTGGTGGGGTTGGGCAGGGGCTGTATCATTTAAGACCTGTAAGCTACAATGAAGAGCTTGGAATTTATTCTAAGACAAGTAGAAACCAAGAGTAACATGATCAAGTTTTTCAATGAGTTGTTCTTGTTGCTGAATGGAGAATCACCTCAGTGACATGAAGAGATTGGGAAGGGAATGAGATGAGGAAAATGCACTTGGCTCCGTTGTGTCCTTTGGTTTTAAAGTTTCTGTTGCTAATTTGTTTTTAACCTAACACCCTACTGGGTATCCAGTAAGTGCTAGCCGTTGGAGCTACAAAGATAGAAGATGGAAAACCTACCCTTGAGATGCAGATATGTGAATAAATCAGTATGCGCCTTTCAAGCTATGTCAGACATTTTGGGATAGAATGGGCAGTGCTGTGTGTTGTGGAATGTTTAGCAACATTGCTGAACCGCTACCCACTAAATGTCAGTAGCATTCAACAACCAAAAATGTTTCCACCTGTTATATTAAAATCATCCTGTAGAGAACGATTATCCCTTTAACATTTAAAGGAATAAGCATGGTGATATAGATGCATGTAGCATAGGACAATAGAAAACCCTACTAATGAAATTGAACTTCTTGAAAAAATTGATGCTTATTTCCAGGACTTAGCATGGGCCTGACCCCAATAGACAATTAATGTATGGAGGAAAGAATGAATGGTCTGTTTCATGGTTATAGAGTTATAGACTCCTGTCTATAGGTTTTGCTTTTTGGACCTATTGAATAAGATCTTGCTTGGAAAGGACACTTGTGGTTAGCATTATAGGGTGTTTGGTACAGTGTACTACTTCTCTCTATCAGAGTTACAGAAGCGTGAGTGAGGCAGCATCCTAGCACTACAGATACCCAGGTGGTTGCACAAGGCAGCATGCTTCTTGGGGGCAGGTAGAGATCAGGCCTTTTGTTTTTATTGCCTCATGACATCTAGCTTAGTACTTGAACATAGTAGAGAACCAGTTATTGTGTTAAGTGAATAAGGGAAGGGAGAGGCTGTGTGGCTTAGGACATTCATTTTCAACCCAGGTGATATCCCCAAGGGAGCAAGACTTGCTTGGGTAGTATCTTAGATATTACAGTGATTGGTGGTCCCCCCTCAAAGGACCATATTTTATAAGTAGATGTGTGGTACTAACATTTCATGGGGATGTGGGGAAGAAGGGGTGATTGGTGGTAGGGGGTTATAATAGTGAGGAAGGGGGAAGGAATTGAGAGTGCTGGGTTGGTGGTTAGGTGTACAAGCTCTGGACTCAGACCTGAGTTTGAAAACCAGCCCCAGTTCTGAAAAAGCTGTGTGACTTGGTAATTTATTTTACTGAGCTTATTTCCTACTCTGTGAAATGTGGGTTCTAATGGCACCCACCTCACAGATTGTGGGGATGAAATGAAATAATATGTGGAATCACTAGTTGTACTGGCTAATATTTAGAACTAGTACTAAATACTTGGTCTAGCATCTAATTTTCAGCAACCTCATAGTCCCTGGCATCATGCTGGCGACATGCTGGATATGTGTCCTCTACTGCAAATTATAAGGACAGTGCAAGAAAGCTCATTCAAACAGGTCAGCTTCCTTCCTACAGCAGTACCCATTCCAAAAGCATCTTGACTACTTATTCAGACTGATAGTTGCCTCTGGAATTGGGTCCAGAGTTCAGTGTCAGTCACTTCCATTGTTGCTAATGGAGAATTGTTTTTTTCCCTCCCCAAGTATGAACGAGGCTCTGCCACCAACTACATCAGTCGAAACAAAGCCCGGAAGAAACTGCAGCTAAGCTTGCCTGACTTCAGGTAGGGTTGGAGAGGAATGGAGTAGGGGTCTTCGGGGAGCATCAACAGTGAACTGCATAGTGAAAACTCAGCTGCCTCTGCCTGGAATTCTGGTATTCCTCCTTTTCTTTAATGAACTGTGCTTTGCCAGGTGTGGTCTGAGGGGAAGCTGGAGGAAAACTTTGTTTTCAGAATGGGCTGCTGGATCTTTGCCTCTTACTCCCTCCCTTCTGGCAGGAGAGACCCCTGATCCTGACAGCCTGTGGGCCCTGTTATTGGGCTGACCTTGATCTCTGCAGCCTCCTCTGGCCCACTTTTAGTTCTTTACATGTGCTCAGTTCTTTCTGACCTTATGGTCTTCATGTAAACTCTTAAATGTTCATCCTTCTACCTTTTATATGGCTGAAAAATTTATTTCTTAGGCAGGCCTTTCCTAACTTAGGTGTCTGACAGCTCCTGTCAATATCCTGTTTGCTGCTGGGCACAGTGGTACATGCCTATAATCCCAGCAACTCTGTATGCTGAGGCAGGAGGATCACAAGTTTAAGACCAGCTTGGACAACTTAGTGAAACCTTGTCTCAGAAAAAATAAGCACATAAAAATAAAGTAGCTTAGAAAAAAAGTAGCTCAGTGGTGGAGTGCCCTGAATACCAAAAAAGAAAGAAAGGGGAAGGGGAAGGGAAGAAAAATCCTGTTTGTTTCCATTATGGTACTTGTGGCAGTATGCATTATGTATTCATGAACTTGGGATCATCAGACTCCTATAGTAGGATGTGAGGTTCTTAAGGGAAGGGTCCTTAAGCACTGTTGATTTCCAGACCCAGCTGTGGCTGTTACTTCTCACAATTTTTTAATTTAATTTTTTTCTTTTTTTAGTTGTAGTTGGACACAATACCTTAATTTTATTTATTTATTTTTATATGTTGCTAAGGATCGAACCCAGTGCCTCACACATGCTAGGCGAGTGCTCTACCGCTGAGCCACAACCCCAGCCCCTGCTTCTCACCTTTATTGACATAATGAATGGTTTCTGTTTTACAGGCGATTATGTATCCTGAAGGGCATTTATCCCCATGAGCCCAAACATAAGAAGAAAGTTAACAAGGGCTCCACAGCAGCCCGAACTTTTTACCTTATCAAAGACATCAAGTTTCTCCTTCATGAACCCATTGTCAACAAGTTCCGGGAATACAAGGTGAGGCCTGGGCTCTAGTATCTGGATGGATCCTCATTGTAGCTCTGTGACTCACAACTGTGAATTTGGGCAAATTGCATACTCTCTCTGAGCAACCCTGTATAAAAGAGGTCATTCTATCTTAAAATGATATCACAGGAATTCACTGAGATTACATGTTTAGAACATTTGCACAGAACCTTAAAATGATTAGTGCTTTACCTGTTAACAGTTTTCTCTGATTCTGAAAAAAATCAAATTTTTTTGCTCCAGAGCCAAAGATGGTGCTTTTTATGCCCAAGGAAACAGCCTTGATTCTGGTTCCTTGAGATTGTTCCCATGAGACAAAGGCTTCCATTCCACAGATAGATATTTTTAAATGCTCACATGCCACCAGGGGAGCAGAAACTTAATTCTACCAAAAGTCCAGAGAATTGAAAGACTCCCTTGTGCTGCCAGCAGAGCCTGACTGAAGAGTGGGGTGCCATCTGGTGGCCCACAGGAAACAGGGCAGCAGTTGTTGATAGGTTTTGTAGCTTCATAAACTCACTGTGTAAGAAGTGGACCCATGTGGGAGATGGCTATTTCAGAGTTGCTATTTATACTCTCAGATAATGTTTGAGCTTCTGAGGGATGCTGGGGCCTGAACAGAAGTCTTAGAGTGAAGACATCTGTTGATTTGGAAGACTTGGCCCCATGATTGGCCTTGGCTACCCTTTTCTGGATGACTCAGTACTACACATGAACCCACAAATGGTTTATGCCAGTGCAGACAGAAGTTGGGAACAAAGGCCAGCCTTTCTGACCTACCTCAATGACAGGTCACTTGTTCTTTCTTTTTAATTGAAAAATGAGACTGATATGCCTTGCCTTCTTCCCATGTGAACATGCTGTGTCAGCACATTTTTTGTGGCTATCCCTATGCCTTGTCAAGAGGGGTGCGTGGTTGAGCTCTGGTCATTATCATGGTCATTATCCATTATCATTTAGTCTACTGTTCCATGGAGTTGGCTGTAGTGCAAATCCTGGGCTGAGGGGACTGATTGCACAGGCACACAGCATGGCTAGCTAGGAGGTAGTGAGTTCTTCAACCCAGCATATCCATCTTCCATGGCCTTACCATCAGTTGTCCCTTTCTCTCTTCCAGGTATTTGTTCGGAGGCTTCGGAAAGCCTATGGGAAGAGCGAGTGGAACACTGTAGAGCGCTTAAAGGACAATAAGCCCAGTTATAAACTTGACCATATCATCAAGGAGCGGTGAGTTGGTGCCCCTCAGAACCCTGCTGTCTGTTTGTCACTGCTAGGCTCAGTCATAGCACTGAGGATACAGTGGCCGACAAACTCAAGATCCTGCTCACAGAGCTTGCCTCCTTTGGGAGTAGGCAGACCAAAAAGCAGACTGACAATTCACTATTATAATGATTTAAGTTGCACTGAGTGCCACAGGGAAGGTATGTTAGTTATACCTTTGCCAGGAGGTCTGCCTGAAGGGAATATTTCAGCCAATAAGAGGAAGCTTGTTCCAAGTAGAGACAACAGTAAGTACAAAGGCCCCATGATAAGAGAGCTCTGGACTGCACATGGGGTATGTGGTGAGAATCAGAGGCATCACAAGACCCTCTGGGTTTATCCATTTCTCGCCCAGACTTCTCATTTCTGAGAAATTCAGCGGCTAAATCAATGATCTTTTTGACTATATCCCCATTCGTCCCTTTTTAACTTTTATTTTGAGACAGGTCTCACTTCCACAGTTGGGCTGGGATGCTTTTGGTTTCTAGAGAGTAGAGATCAAGGTTATAGCTAATACCCTATAATGTCCAAAATAGTCTCCACAACACAGAACAGTCTGGTCCAAAATGCCAGTAGTGGTAAAGTAGATAAACCCTGGACTAATGAATGTCAGTCTTTTCTGGTTTGATGGCCCAGGCACACTTAGCTCCAGAATAGATAGGTTTGTCTTCATATTAGGCTCAGTTATGGGCTATCACTGGAGGGGCCCTGGACTAGGAACTAGACAGCTTGTGTTCTGACTCCATCCCTGTGGACCCATGAGCTGATCAATCAGAGAACTATTCTTACTCAGGGACTCTGAGCAAGTTCTTGTCACTAACAGAGAGATGATGTTAGTTCCTGTCCAGCCTATAACACAGCTGTTAGTGTGGAATAGATTTTTTAAAAACACACAAGAGCTAGGCATAGTGGCACACACCTGTAACCCCAGTGACTTGGGAGGCTGAGGCAGGAGTATTGAAAGTGTGAGTCCAGCCTTAGCAACTAAATGAAGCCCTAAGCAACTTAGTGAGACCTGTCTCACAATAAAAAAGGGCTGGGAATGTGGCTTAGTGGTTGAGTGCCCCTGGGTTCAATCCCTGATATCAAAAATAAAAAAAGAAGTGCCTGGAGATGACTAGTGCCCTTTCTACAAAGGGCCTTGGTGTTGGGTTTGTCTGCAAAGTAGAGAGTTAGGAAACTGGGGTGCCAGAGGATCTTGATTGAGGTTCCTGCCTCTGCACCAAGAACCCAAATAGCTCTTCAACTGTTTCCTCACGACACATCCCTCTTCAGGCCTTTTCCCCTGTCTTGGCCTGGATTTGTAGACCTGGTAGACCTCTCTTGACTTATTGCCCTTCAGAGTCATATATGAAATAGCAAAGCTCTTCCAAAGGAAGCTTCCTGGAAGGTGATTTGGGTGCCAGAAACTCTGGGAACTGCTTTGGTTGGGGATGGAGGCTTGAAACCCTGCCCAGGGCATTTTAAGGAAGTTATAAGGACCCAGGGTTTTTTGTTTATTTTGTGTTAGAATCAGATTTATCTTTTTTCCCCACATTTTAAAATTGTTGCATTGTACTTGTATGTAATGGTGGGATTTGTTAGTTGTGTGTACATGCACACAATATAGCAATATAATTTGAAAGGGCCCAGTTTTAAAGCAATAGTCTGGTCTAGCAATGTCATTTTCAGATAAAGCTGGATGATCCCAACTGACCTGCCCAAGGTCAGTGGGACTTATTTGCCCAACGCAATGGGACTTATTTGTGGTTCAGTTTTCTCTATTCCCTGCACCTCAGACCCTCAGCTTGACAGCCATACAGTGGTAGATCTCTCCCAAGTTGACCTCTTCTCATCAGTTTCCTCATTTGCCACAGAATTCCTAGAAATATGTTCTTCCTCTTCCTGGCCTAGATCTCAATTCCAGCATTTTACCCATAGTTCTAATTGGTTCTAACTGATTTTTTCAACTAGACAGGTCTGGGCGATATGAGCAAGGACGACAGCCCATTCTGGTGACCTGTGACCAGGCCTAGACACAGATGCTGCTGAGGGAAGCAACCCCATCTGGCTTCCTAGCCTACTAAGGCAGCTTCCCATTTTTCCATTTTCTACTGTGGATCTCCCAATAAATTTTCTTTGAACTAAAGGTTCTACCTTCAAAAAGAGAGAGCCACTAACTCATTCTGCCGTCATTTACAACAAAATATGAAAGGGTCAAGGCTGGGTATTTGGTGTCTCCCACTGGGATTTCCCTGGTCCTCAGAGCTCTATGGGCACATTCTGGTTCAGTGCTTCTTAGGGCTGTTCCTAGGGCTGTATCTGGCTATCAGGAAGCTGGTGTAGCCATATTAAGAGGTGGCAGTGGTTAGACCTGTTTGGGGAACATGGCCCTGGGGTAGCTGACAGGGTAGAACAAAGAGGCCAGGACCCCTTTAGAGTCTAGCTGAATGAGCTCATGAACTCTGCTCTCATGGCCCTGCAGGTACCCCACATTCATCGATGCTCTGCGGGACCTGGATGATGCCCTATGCATGTGCTTCCTCTTTTCTACCTTCCCACGAACAGGCAAGTGCCATGTGCAGACCATTCAACTATGCCGCCGGCTTACTGTAGAATTCCTGCACTATATCATCACTGCCCGTGCTCTGCGCAAGGTGAGCCCTTAGGATCCTTCCCTTGGCCCATCCCCTGTCATCTGAAGGGTTTCACCATGCTGTCTGCTCCCTCTCCTCTAGGTCTTCCTGTCCATCAAAGGCATTTACTACCAGGCTGAAGTGCTGGGGCAGCCCATCGTGTGGATCACACCCTATGCCTTCTCCCATGATGTGAGTATGCCTGTGGGGAGGGGTTTGTGCTAGCTCCTACACTAATGTCCATGTAAGATTGGTAAGGAGTGGGGCAGAGTCTAGCACTTGCTGGGCTCCTAATTAATGCCTGCTGGTGGGGAGTGGAGTGGGATGGGTGAGAAGTGTGTCACACAGAGCAGTAGCACTCTTCATCACATGGTCCATCTTAGAATTTTCAGTGTGATATATATACTCAAGACCTGAACATTAATCATAATTAAGAAGAGGAGCCCCCAAGCCTGCCCAGCTCTAGCCATACCACCCAGATGACAATGGATATGTTCACTTCTTTGTGCTTCCACTGTCAGCCTTGCAAATAAGATTTAAGGGAGAAAAAAAACTTGAAAGGGCCTGGTATTTGGCTCTTTGGGGTCAAATGAACAGTGAGCAGCTCCGGGGGTCGTGTCTGTTGCCTGAAAAGTAGCAGAGCCTTTTCCCCTCTCTGCTATAGGCAACTGCTATGGGCAACCAGAGTTATTGGCCTTTCCCTCTTTCCCTCTTCATCTGTCCTATCTTCTTCCTTTCTTCCTTCCTGCCTTCCTCTTTGGCTCTCTCTGTCCTTTCTTCTCTCTGATGTCCCACCCCCAAGCTGCTTTACTTCTGCCCTTCCTCCTCTGCCTCATCCCTCCCACAGCCTGGAGGACAGAGTGATGCTGGGGAGGGGAAATGCCAGAGAAGCACTTAGTGCATGACATTACCTCTTGCTGATCTTTCTTTAAGTCTTGGGAATTATTGAAAGGGCCCCACTGAGAGAAATCCTAGTTTTGCCTCTTGTGGAGGCATTGTTAGCTTCTAGCCTTCCATGTTGGTTGGTCTTAGTTGGTGTTGCAGATGACTTCTTGGTTCTGTGTCCTGCACTTGGCCATCTTCCTGCTTGTTCAGTGAGCAGGACCTGGTTCCTCCACAAAGAGCAGAAGTAGCAGCCTGGCTGTGCTGAGCTTCCTGCTGGGTTATCATGTGCTGTAGCATGAGCCAGGGGCCGCCGCCACCCCCCCCCCCCCCCCCCCCCCGCCCCTTGCAAGGGCTGGAACCTATTCTGACTGCAGTACAGTGTGTTGGTGCTTGGTGGTATGGTTGCAGGCTGTGGGTGAGACAGGCTTGGCCTTTAACAGTCCCTATTACCACTCCCTGGGGTTCTAGCTTGGGCAACCAGTTATTGACCCTTCCCTCTTTCCCTCTTTATCTGTCCTGTCTTCTTCCTTCCTTCCTGCCTTCCTCTTTGGCCCTCTCTGTCCTTCCTTCTCTCTGATGTCCCACCCCCATGCTGCTCAGACTGGTCTTTGTGTGCCCTCCTGAGTGGTGAATAGGGCCCTGTGGAAGACCAGCCTCCACACAGCTGGCCCTGGGGGAAGGGCATGGGCCACCCATTCCTCCTCCTTCCTTGGCCAGCTTGCTTCCTCTGCTTCCTCTAAGCAGAGGATGGGTGACCGGTACTGGGTTGTAGTAGGGGTCCTGGTATGCCTTTCCCCAGAGTAGCCAGTGCTGGGTGCATAACTGTGGGACTCAGGTTGGTAACAGTAGTGGGGGCAGGGCATTGCATGATGTGGAAAATAGGGTTGGTGACCACATTTCCACCAGGCAGACCCTCCACGCTACAGGTCACTGCCTGGCAGCTAGATGGAGGAACAACTCAAAGAGTTATGGGCACACCCATGATAGAGGGGATATTGTGATCATTACCAGTTTTGACATTTCTTGAAAATTCTTCTATGTTGCAGGAGGTTGGGTTGGCCTCCCTGGATTTAGAGGGTGGGACCATTTGAGACTTTAGGTATTTTGGTCCTTGTTTTAGATCAACTTCTCAAGGGCAGAGATAAGTCCCTTCCATGTCTCCTGCTTATTGAGTTGGTAGTTTGTGAGGGTGGCTGTGCCTCGGTCTCTAAGCAAGTAGTTACTCTGCCTGTTATTTTCCAAGAGCTCTTAGGGTGCCAAGCTGGGCTAGCAGCCCCAGCGGCCCCAGCCTGTTCTTAGGTCCTCAGGCTATGCTTTTGTATGCTGTTGCCAGGGTGTACTTGGGCTTAGTTCTACCTACCCACTATCTGTCCCCACCTGGCTTTGGACTTTCCAGGGCCCCTTTGTCTGGGCTGTAGACTATTCTGGCCTCAGAGTATTACCTTCCTGGTGCTCATAGCTGGCCCTGGAGCAGACATATGACAGATTGTGGGGTGGGTGATAGAGAAGGCTTGACCTCTGTCCAGGTTGGGAAAGGTGGTCTTTTCAAGGACACAAGTCTGCACTGAGACTTGAAGGATGAAAGGGAGACCTGGGGGCAGGGGCAAGGAAGGGCCAGCCAGTCATGGGAATAGCATGGTCCAGTTTTTCTTTTCTTATTCCTGGATCCTCCTTTATCACATGGTGGTTTGGGAAACCCTTGGGACCCCTATCCAGAGCTGCATTTATTCCCAGAATGCTCTTCGTAGGGGTGTGGCTGCACTGCTGATGCCTCTCCTGTGCCCCCCTAGCACCCAACAGATGTGGACTACAGAGTCATGGCCACCTTCACTGAGTTCTACACCACCTTGTTGGGCTTTGTCAACTTCCGCCTCTATCAGTCCCTCAACCTCCACTATCCCCCAAAGGTAGGGCCCCAGCCCTTCTCTCCCCACATGAGTGAGGGGTCATGGGTGTCCTTTTCTCTCTAACCTTCCACTTGCACTCAGCTCGAGGGTCAGGCCCAAGCAGAGATGAAGGACAGTGAGGGCGTCTATGCATTGGACTCTGAGAGCTCTATGGAGGTGAGAGAGGTTTCAGGGACGTTATCCCTACATCTCCCCAGAAGGGTGGTCCCTGTCCCCAACATGTCTGGGGTTGTAGTGGGTGGGGTGGGTGGTCTTGGCTTGCCCTCAGATCCTGGACCCATAGGTGGTCCAGAGGTGTTGCAGTTCCCCCTTCCCACCCTGGCCACTCATTTAGACAAGGTCCCCTACCTGCAAGTAAGCAGCCCTGCTTCTATCCTTTAGAAACTAGCAGCCCTCAGTGCCAGCCTAGCCCGTGTGGTGGTACCTGCCACAGAGGAGGAGGCTGAAGTGGATGAATTTCCTGCTGATGGGGTGAGCATGGCACTTCCTTCTAGAATGGCAGTGGGACAAGGAATGGGGGCCAACATCTGGAAGCTGTAGGATCTACAAAGAAGCTAAGGAGGGGGTTTTCTCTAGTCCCTGCCCTCTAGTTGTGTTGGTGCCTCTGGTGATGGCAAGGTCTGGTTCCTCCTTGGCAGGAGATGGCAGTGCAGGAAGAGGATCGCAGGAAGGAGCTGGAGGCACAGGAAAAGCACAAGAAGCTCTTCGAGGGCCTAAAATTCTTCCTGAATCGTGAGGTACCCCGTGAGGCTCTGGCCTTCATCATCAGGTAGGAGGGCTCTCAGGTTGGCCCACAGCACTGGCCCTGCCACAGTCTGGTCTTGGTTCTGCCCATCAGTAACATCAAATGGTGTATTTTCACTTTTTACAAATTAGTGCTTAGAGATTACTCAGCATGGCACTGAAGCACATAGGAAGCATTCAACCAAGGGCAAAGCTGCCATCAGGTTATTACCAGTCAAGGTCCCTCATGGGCCAAGACTGGAAGTATCTGTATAGATCTGGAGTGGGACAGGGCAGGTATATTGTAGAGGGGTAAATTTATAGATCAGGTGGCCAGTGAGTCTAGGGCAAGCAACTCATACCTGGGGATACTTTTGGGCTCTCCTTGTGCCTCTAGGAGTTTTGGGGGGGACGTGTCCTGGGACAAGTCTCTGTGCATTGGAGCCACCTATGATGTCACAGACTCCTGCATTACCCATCAGATTGTTGATCGACCTGGACAGCAAACCCCTGTCATTGGCAGGTAAGCCCCCGAGACTCTGCTTTACATTTTAGGAGAGTTCTATCTTAAAGGCCCCTGGAATACAGTGGGGCCTCAGGTTGCTGCCTTGTGACCTGTCTTTGCTGGCCACTCTACTAGGTACTACATACAGCCACAGTGGGTGTTTGACTGTGTGAATGCCCGACTCCTCCTCCCTGTGGCAGAATACTTCCCTGGGGTGCAGCTGCCCCCACACCTTTCACCTTTCGTGTCTGAGAAGGAAGGAGATTACATCCCACCTGAGAAGCTTAAGCTGCTGGCTTTGCAGCGGGGAGAGGACCCAGGTGAGTGAAAGAGTACTGGGTGGCAGGGTGGATGGGCTCCTTTGGATGGTCTGGGCCCCTGGGCATGAGCTGTCCATTTCCCTTTACTGTAGAGTTGGCAAGCAGGGAACAGGGCAGAACAGAGTGGAAAGCCCTTTGAACCTATCTTTGGAGTAAGGCATAGGAAAAGGGGACATTTGTATATCACAGTCAAGTGTTACTTGATTCATTCAGATGAACTGAGCAGAAAGATCTGGGGTTGTCATCAGTCTTCATGTAGAAGGTGACTGAGTTCAGGAGTTGGGGGAGTGTCCTTTGAGGGCAGCTGGGGCTTTGGAGAGGAGTCAGAGGGGGCTACAGTGAGGAAAGCCTTGAACTGTCTTTGGAATATCTGCAGATGTCAGAGTTCAGAGGGTGGTGCTTGGGGCCTGTCCTCACCTGGCAAGAGAAAGCAGATTCCTACCTGCTGTTTGTAGGAAACTTGGAAGAGTCTGAAGAGGAAGAAGAGGAGGAGGAAGAAGACATTGAAGGTGATGGCAATGAAGGGGGAGAAAATGAAGAGGAGGAGGAAGATGCGGAGGCTGCTTCAGAAAAGGAGGAAGAGGCCCATCTGGCAGCCCTGGAGGACAAGAGGATGGAGGCAAAGGTATGGCAATGCTAGACTGGGGCACTGTCTGGGAAGCAGCCCCACTTGCCTGGAAGGGCAGGAGCCAAAGGACCCATACCCATGAGCACCCACTCTCTGTCCTCAGAAGCCCAAGGTGATGGCAGGCACTGTGAAACTGGAAGATAAGCAACGACTGGCCCAAGAGGAGGAAAGTGAAGCCAAGCGTCTGGCTATTATGATGATGAAAAAGCGGGAGAAGTACCTTTACCAAAAGATCATGTTCGGCAAGAGGCGCAAAATCCGAGAGGTAAGTTGCTCTTGTCACTTGAGACTTGGGTGTGTCCACCATAGGTGGCTGTGAGGTGAACTCAGAGGCTGGTGGGCTGTCCTCGGAAACAGCACTCTGGGTCACTCCTAGCCTTTTCCTGAAAGCCACACTCAGGGCTTTCATCCCCTTCCTGTTCCCAGCTGTTTCTGAATCTCAGATATGGGAACAGAGCTATCCCAGCAGACTTGGGAGGTTTTTGTTAAGCTTTATTTTCTTGTTCACAAAGCCACATATGCTCATTTAAAAAAAGAAAAAAAATTGTGCAGCCATAACTGAGTAAAAGATGACACAGTAATAGATCATTCCTGCGCCCTGCAGGTTTCTCTTGTGCACATAACCTTAGGGAAGCAGTATTCTATGTATAGATTGTTTTAGTTTGATTTTTTTCATTTAATCATAATGTGGACTTCATGACATTGTGCACCACAAAAACCTGTCTCCTACTGATGGGATTATTTTTTCCTATTTTTCAGTCATTCTCAGTAAACATCCCTGAGCAGGTCCCTGACCTTCTCAGAATATTTCTGCAGTTTAATATATTTTTTTTTTTTTGGTTGATAGACCTTTATTTCATTTATTTGTTTGTTTGTTTATTTATTTGTAGTGCTGAGAATCAAACCCAGTGCCTCAGACACGTGAGACTGGTGCTCTACCACTAAGCCATACCCCCAGCCCTGCAGTCTAAATTCTTAATAGCATAATTGCATAGTTGTCAAATATCTATTGCCTAGTGGTCTGTGGGAAGACTTCCCTTTGCACCCTCCTTGCCGTCTAGTTGAAGTTTGAAAGGTGTCAGACTTGGCTTTCTAGAGGGTTCTGAGAATCTAGGAGTTTATAACTAAAGATTTATGGACCCATAAAATAATAAAGAGTTGTAAAGGCAAGGGGGAAGGTCTGTTTTCTTACCCTTAGGTAAATCAGATATTTTCCCGTGGTAATTTGCTTGTCAGCTTTGCTTTTTAAGAGGTAACCCGGAGCTAGGGTTGTGGTTCAGTGGTAGAGTGCTCGCCTCGCATGTGTGCGGTCCTGGGTTCTATCCTCAACACCACATAAAAGTAAATAAATAAAATGAAGAGGTAACCCTATGTAGGAGGAGGGCGATCCCCTTCCCCTGTCTTCCCTTACTCCCAAGTTCCCATCCCCAGCCTTACCTCTCCCTTCCTCCTCACAGGCTAACAAACTGGCAGAGAAGCGGAAAGCCCACGACGAGGCTGTAAGGTCTGAGAAGAAGGCCAAGAAGGCGAGGCCTGTTTGAGTGCCAATGGAGGCCATGTTCTGGCAGCTGGAGAAGACAGTGACAGGCCAAGGGACCGCTTTTTATTCCCTTCCTTCTCCCTGACAGCTCTGGTGTCTTTTCACTCTGACAGGGTTTATGGGCAGCCCTGGCCTCCTTTCTGCTGGTGGCTGGGCAGAGAGAGGTTCTAGAGCCTGATCGGCCCTTCACTTGCTGCCTCTGTTTTCCTTGGCAACCCCCACCATATGTCGACCTGTGATTCTCAGAGTGCTGTGATAGGGTGAAGATGGGGGAACTTTTGTTATTTTGTTATTAAACACTGAACTTCGGCAATCAATTGGTTCTATATTCAGGAGCCTTCTGGGATTGGAGAAGGGCCACCTGGCACTCTGTACTATAAGCTGGGCCAACCCTGGTTGTTGACCAAGTTGGACCCAGGCATACTCAGAACTCTGGATGTCCTAGGACCCCTCCAGTTCCAGGGATTCCAGAAGGGAGCCACAGAGTTTCTGGGCTTGGTTCACATTCCAGCCCAGGCACTTTGCCTCTGTGAACCTGCTTCCTTGTAAGTTAAGGAGTGGAAGTTCTGGAGCATTCCTGTGTTTTAGGATGAGTGGTGTCATTTGTTTAGTAAGTGCTTGATGAACATGAACTGTGATTTTCATAACTTTCTACTGGAGCTGGTAGGGAAGGTGAAAGCCAGTGCCTGAGGATGATTGGGGGAGGAGGGACTGATGACAGGTATACTTCTAGCTTTCCATTGTGGGTTGGTGGGTAGAACGGCCCACTGAGGCCACTTCTGGTAACCCAACCTGTAACCCTTTTTCCATCTGACCTGCCAATGCCCAGGGGGACATCCCTTGCCTGGGATTATTCATGTGTCATGACAGCCAGAGCCAGAACCCTGAGCTCTGGATGCTTACACTCTCCAGCACAGCCTCCCACTGCTGCTTCTGGTGGACTGATTATTATCAGGAGCAGGAGCTGGGTTGGGGAAGAGTGGGTTTGGAACTGGCTCCATGCTCCCAGGATTTAGGCTGAAGGCCTTGATCTGCCTATCATGTGTTGGCTCTATAGGGGGAGAATGTTTCTGGGGGTAGTGGCTGCAGACCCAACATTTGCCAGGGGAAGAAAACTTGGCAGGCCCTGGCTTAGGAGGTAGAGAACCCAGGGCCCACATTGGCTGGACTTCGCTGGGTGTAGAAGGAGAGGGCTATGTCGCATGCCCACTCTGGCATGCCCATGGCAGCAGGGGTGTGGTGGGGGTTGTTTCCAGGGTCAAGACTTCTGGAGCTAGAGCCTACAGCTCCAGGGACTGAGTAAGGCCTGGCTGGGTGCATGTGCGTCCTAGTGTTACAAGGTCGAGGGCAGGCCCAATGGAAAAATGCCTGGCAGTCATGCTGATGTGGAATTTTCCCCATTCCAGAATTGCCCAGAAATGTCGGGGGCAGTGGGACTTTGACGTGGTCCATGCTCTACTGGGTGGCCAGCTGGTTTTGTACTGCCCACAGTGGAGCCAAGAATTCCTAGTTCTGGCCAGGCAGTAGTCCCCATCTTTGGTCCTTCTCTGCTGGGATGAAGGACAAAAGCCTGATCCTGGAAGGGGAGATGGTTCCTGGATAGGGCACCCATATGCTGCTGGCCCACCTCTCAACCCTGGAGAGGAGAAGTTCTGCTGAGACCTTCAAGCGTAGGACCCTGTTGGAGCGAAGTTCCTTAAGTTCTCAGAGATCCTGGCTCCTCTTCCCCGCCCCTGCTCCTATGGGTTCCAAAGACAGTGCCCCAAGTTGAAAAGTCTGGAGGGGAGGTCATACCTTCAATAGGACCCTGAGAGCGCCAGTGTCCCCAGTGAAAGTTAAGAAAGCAACTATTCCAGCCGCTTCCTTTTAACTCCTTTTCCCCCAAGCTCGGCACCCCCTCCCCAGCACTACTATAAAGCCCCAAGCATCCTAGAGTCCCCTTTAGGGTTGGGGGTTCGGCTGAGCCAAAGGACTGGCTGCAGGACAATGGTCCCGTTGGCGCGTCGGAGACAAACGGGCCTTGTTGGTCTAGCAGCGGGGGCGCGCGGCTGCGCCTCAGCACGCTGAATGCGGCTTCTGTGCGTCCGGGGCTGGCGCGCAGGGGCCGGGACCCAAAGGGGGGGGGGGCCGGGCCTGGGGCGCCCATTGGCCGACGCGCCAGGGGCCGGGCCAGGCCAGGGGCAGCACCTGGCCCGGAGCAGGAGCGGGAGCAGGCGCGGCGGCCGCGGCGCCGGCGGCAGCAGCGGCGGCGGCGGGGCGGGAGAATGGACCAGGCCTGGCGGAGCGCAGGGCCCTGGCAGGTGCGCCCCGCCGCCCAGTGAGCGCCCGGCTGCACCGCCGGGGCCGAGCCAGCCACTCCGAGTCTGAGGAGGACTGGAACAAGGTAGGTCCCCGGGGTCCAGCGCCCATCGACAGCTAATGCCCTGCCTCGGTCTACTTCCTGAGGACCCCGCCCACACTACTCCAGTTGCTGAAATGGTATTGCGTGCGCGCCCGGGGGTATGAGATTGCCGCATCACTGCTCCAGCAGCTGGGTGCACTGGCTGGGGACAGGGAGGGTGCAGGTTTGTGCTAGTCCTGCCCGTTGTTTTTTCCCCCGTGGCCCCCAGTCCCTGAAGGTGGGGTGGGTGGGGCTGGAGAAGGCAGGCTGCTGGCACTGGACAGGAGCTAAGTCTGTTAATGATTAATTTTCTTGGGTACAGTGGCCTGAGCCTTAGTAGAGGAGGGACAGGGATCTCTACTCTCCCCCACCAGCTCTTCCCAGAAGGGCTTTTGGAGTAAGGACTTGGGTAATGGTAAGGGGAAAATCTCTGCCCTGAAATGTGCCCCAGAGTGGGCAAGGCCACCAAGTAGAGGCTTGTCAGGTGGACCAATCTTGGTGTCCAGGAGAGGCCCCATACAAAATCCCAGGGTGCCCATTTCCTGGGTCAGTGCCCCAAAATGGATCTGACTTAGTCTGCTCATTCCTGCCAGGCCAGCACTTCGGTAACAGCACAGAGCATGATTGATCTCTTCCCAAAGGGAATTCTCTTCCCCAGCTGTTCAGATCAGGAGAGGTGATGGGCAAACATCTGGCTGCTGTAACTCACACCAGAGGGAGGAAGGGAGAGAGGGCATAGGCCTGACACCTGATCCCAGGGCTGCCATGGTGACAAGTATCATGGAAATCCTTGAGAGGTGTGGAGGAAGGTCCAATCAGGAGAATCTAACCTCTTCCTTTACTGAGAGGATGACCTGAAGCCCAGAGAGGATGAGGCTTGTCTAGGGCCACACAGGAAGCACAAGTGGGCAGGCCTGGGCCAGATCAGCCCCTAAGCATTGGTACTTATTCCCATTATGCACAGGGTGAATTGAGGCTCAGGAAAATTCAGTGACTTGTCCAAGGTCTCATAATTCACAGGTAGTCAAGTTGACTCCAAATCACAGGAGTCTTGCTGTGCCCCCACTTCAGGACCTCAGCCCTATCTGGGATCTCTCTGCCCCACTGGGGTCCTAGTCTCTCTGATCTGTGTGGGCTGCCCTAACCCCCAGTTAAAGCCCCCCCCCCCCTGCCTCCCTGGCTCCCAGCTCTGCCTGACACTCGGGGTGGGCAGGCTGTTACCCTGGGAGCAGAGACAACAGAGCCCTGTTCCCAGCTGCCACCTCAGGCTGCTTCATTCCCTCTTCTTAGCTATGGCTCTGCTTGAAGGAAACTCCATGTGGACAAAATATCTGCTTCCTTTACATCCCTTTCCCTTAATGGATTTTATGTCCTCTTATCACCCCCAAAGGGAGGAGTGTGCCCTCTACAGCCCCTCCCACTGGGCTCCACAGGACTGAATGTGCTGCCCAGTGAAAGAGGCAATGATTAACCTGGGAAAATGATGCACAAATGGAGGAATTCTGGGCCTGACTGCAGGCTTGTGAAGGGCTCGTTGTTTCACTTAGACTGAGTGAGGATATGGACAACTCCTTTTAGGAGCCCTACACCACTCCAGACAGGGCAGAGCTGGTTGCAGCAGAGGTGCCCCTGAGGGTCACCAGACTGGGGGACCACCGGAATCACCAGGTGAGGAGTAATGGGAATAAATATACCCAGAGGGCACCTGCTTTCCCATATGCCAGAGATAAGGGCAGAGTTAGGGTCCCCAATTGTGCCCTGACTTGCAGTGGCACTTTGGGTGAGTTTGTCCCTATCTATGCCTCAGTTTGTCAGATGTGAAATATGAGGGTTGGGGCAACTTGGATATAGAACATGGGAAATATAGGTTCTTGGACAGAGAGGGTGGCTTTTCAGGTGTCTGCACCAACAGGTCCTGCTTTCCTTGTTAGATGAATCTAGAAGGAGGAGCATGATAGTCACCAAACATGCTAATATTGTGTGCCAGGTATCATGCAAAGGGCTCTGCATGCCTCACGTCTGTGGATCCTCCGAGCAAGCCTGTGAGAACATGGATATACTTCCACTCTTTAGAAACTTAAATTAAAAAAGAATTCACTTGCCTGAGGTCACCCAGATGGGAAATGGTGGAGGTAGGATTCATAATCAGGGTATCTCAGAGAATCCAGGAGTGGAGAGGTGGGTGAGGATATCTACCTTTCAGCACCTTTTTAAAGCCTTCCTACTGTTACATATATTTATACAAACAAGTGCATCACCTTTAAAAGATAATTTCAGGCCTGTTACAAAGTACAGAGAATGAGATTACCAACTCCTACATACTCACCCCTGAGGTTCTCGGTATTTTTGGAGCTAACAAAGAAGTGACTGACTTCTTGTTGAATCTATGATTTGCTGCTTTGGGTTGACTCAGATCTGCCATCAGGAAGGAGGATGATTTTGCTTAAACAAGACGAGCTAAAAAAGCTATGGGCTTGCTCCTAATTCTGGCTTTGCTGTTAAGCCCTTCCACAAGCTACTGAGCCTCAGTTTCCCCACCTATAGTGCCAGTAGACACCATAACACTGGGAAGGTCTGTTAATTTCATGGGTGTGTGTGTGGCTGCCCTTTGAAACAGTAGATGGGTGACCCAGTAAGATTAAAAAGTGCCTTCTGAATCATCAAAGAACATTGCCCTTTCTCAGTAACCTAGTATCAATTGGCATACATACCTATACCCAAAAGGGCATTGGAGTAGGAGCAAGATTTCAGAACTGACAATTTGGAGGTGGTCTTACGAGCCAGCAAATGACCTGCTGGGCACTTCTCCCCATCTCTGCTCCAGCACCCCACTCCAGAGGGATTGAGTGAGGAAGCTTCCAGATCCTTATAAGTCTCTCCTGAAGGGAGGCCCACCCTTTCTCTACTGCACCTTTAGGTGTGCAGTCCACACTTTCCAGCTCTATACCAGGCGTCTACTGCCTGCTCCTCATCTAGGACATAGAGGTTCAGAGAGGGCAGCCTGCTTTCCTCACAAACACAGTGAGGTGGGACATAAACTCAGACTAGCCACTTTCCCCTGCTCTGCCAGCGAGGCTGTGGTTTTTAAAAATGGATATATCTTTTTTCCCTGCTAAAGTAATACAGGTTCCTTTGTGTAAAAAAAAAAAAAAAAAAAAATGGTGTTTGTGTCTCTGTGTGGGGGGGGGTGGGTGGGGGGGTGTGTATGAGAAAGAGAAAGGCAGTGGGAGTTTTGTTTTGTTTTATTTTATTTTTTTGCAACTGGGAATCAAACCCAGGATCTCACATATATGAGGCAAGCACTCTACCACTGAGCTATACCCCCTGCTCTTTTAATTTTATTTTGAGAGACGGTCTCTAAGTTGCCCAATTGTTCTTGAACTTGAAATTCTCCTGCCTCAGCCTCCCACTTAGCTGAGATTACAGGCATGTACCACCATGCCTATACATTTTGATTACAGAATCAAAATGTGTTACAGAAAGTATATGGCTCTGCTCTCCTGGGAAGTATAGCTTCTCTTTGGTAGTCTTTTAAAACTCTTTTACAAGGTACATATATATAGCTTTGCTCTATATGAATAAGTTCATTCTGTCTACTGTGTAATCAGGCTGAATACTAGGCATCTCTTTTTAACCTCTCTGATACTCAGTTTCCTAGTCTGAAAAATTGATATAAAGGCCTTATGAGCATTGGAGGATCTGTAAGTAATACTTCAGTCTCCATCTCTGTGTGCTCATCTCAGATCTCTTGTTAGATTTTCTTTGAAGATATTGCCACAAGTAGGATTGCTCGGCCTGAGAGTGGTCACCATTAGAACACATAATAGTTGCTTTCAAATTTGTAATCTTTTCTGATTTTTTTTTTTTTGTGTTTTTTCTTTTGCAGTGCTGGGGATTGAATCCAGGGCCTTGTGTGTGCTAGGCAAGTGCTCTTACCAATAAGCTACACACCCAGCTCTCTTTTTGTTCCACTTTTACAGCTTCCTCCCATGTCCTTATGGCTGTACCTCTGGGACACTCTCACACGACTACCTTCTCTGCCAGAGCTCTGTTTCTCTGTGTGCATGTTGAGCCAATGGCATGGATTGCGCATCAGTTGGGGAATGGCTTTGGAGGCCCTCGCTGCCATTTTTCTCTCCCTGGGACACTTACCATCCTGCTCTTGTAAGCGCAGGCTTCCTCTCCTTCCTCCCTATTGCTGGTGACTCCATCTACTCCTGTGGCCTCAGGTTTCAACTCTGTGCCTGTGGGCCCCAACCTGCCTCCCTCAAGACCTCCCTCTTCTGCTCCAGGCAGAGTATCCCACTGCTTGTTGGACTGTCCATGGACATCCCACATAGACTTCTTGTGTCCTAGTGGAAACTGACATACCACCCTACCTTCCTACTAAACCTGCCCCTCTCAGCCTCCTCAGTGCAGGGCCTCACCCCACCCTCAGCCAGCCAGTCATCCCAAAAGGAACTTTCCCCTCTCCTCCTCCATGCCTGGTCACCCAGCAAATGCTGTCTATATCATGGTTTACAGATGGTGCCTGTGCATCCCCACCTTCCCCTTAGTCCAGATCATCTCATAGTTGGACAGCTGTAACAGCTTACCATCAAGGTCTGTCTCCTCCTCCCTTTCCTTCCCCACCCCTACCATTCATTTTCCACCTAACATCCCTGTGGGAATCCCATCTTCTCACTCCTCTGCTGAAGATCCTTCTGGTGTTTCCCATCACCCACAGCATCAGGCTAGACTTCTTGGCATGGCTTTTTGAGGTCAGTGTATCCTTCTTGCCTCTGCCCTGTTTTTTTGGCTATGCCCCTAAGTCTCCCCTGTCTACCCAGCCTCATATGGACACTTCAGCCAGGTTGAACAATAGTTTCTCAATTGCCTGGACCTTTGCATATGCTTTTCTTTCTGCTTGTTTATTCCAGAATAACATGCACATTCGTTAATAACAGGAGCTATCATAATAGACAAACCCCAAGTTCCAAAAGACTTAACACAAAGGCAACTTAATTTCTATTTTCTTGAAATCTAGTGGATGTTTGTGGACAGTGAGGCAGAGACCCAGGCTCCTCCCATCTCATGGCTCCACCCACTTCCACATCCTTGAAGATCACCCCATTCACTGGGTAGAGGGAAAGTGGAACACAGAGGAGTTCTGCTCTCTTAACCTCATCAGTATCATTCTGTTCATATTCCATCAACCAGAATTCAGTCACATAAATACACTGACTGCAAAAGAGGATGGGAATTGTCTAACCATGTAACCATGGAGAAAAGGGAACTGCCTTTGGAAAGTGGAGAACACACAGCAGCAGTTACTACCACTGGCGCCTCCTCACCCACAAAGTCTCCTTCCCTGACACCACCCCTCACCCCTTCCCTAGGCTGGATCATGTGTCTTCTCTGTGCTGCAGCAAGCCCCAACCAGTTTCCTCCATCACAGGTTATCTTGCTTCTCTGGACACCCTAGGACTGTGAGCACCATATGCCCTGCACTGAGTGTCCTGTGTACTCTAATACTGGAATCTAGAGACCAAAAAAAAAAAAAAGAAGATGAGGACCAAAATCTTAATGGTAGTGACTTCCAGGAATGGGTCTCTTTTCATTATATTCTTTATGTTTTGTGTTTTCTGAATTTTGTTCAGTGATCCTATATTGCTATTATCATTTAAATTTTTTTTTGGTAGAGGGAGAATGAACCAAAGATGGTATCACTAATATTTCTGGCAGTAACCCCTGCTGTTAGGATGATGGGGGACAAAATTCTGCAATCAAGCCTCCCCACTCTGAAATGTTGGCTTCATTTGGGTCTTTACTTGCCTCTCCACTCTGGGCACCATCTCACTTGCTCCTGGAGAGCCTGAGTGCCACTCCTTCACCGCTGCCCCATAGAGTGGGGATGACAGCCAAGGTCTTCAGCCAGCAATCTGAGAGTGGCATGATGTATGGGAAGTCCCAAACACAGGAATGGATACTGTTTGGTTCAGAGTCCACATTCCTAAGTCGTAGTCACTGCTGTTCAATGCCAGCTCTGCTCTGCTTCACCCCCATAAAACTGTCTTCAAACCAGCTCATTCTAATTTCCAATGGGCATTAGAAAAAAAATAAAACAATTCCAAAGCATGTCCCAAACCTGATTCCAGCACTTGGAGAGATTGTAACTCTCAGCCTGGCCTGTGGCAGTTTTAGCTCTGGTATTTTGTGGGTACTTGGGGCTTCTCAGGTTGGATGGGGTTTTCAGAAAACAGGGGCTCACAGCAAGTGTCAGATGCCTGCTGCTCCCTGGGAGGAACTTGCAGTTGCTTAACGTATGAGAATGCTCAGTGGGGATGGAAAACTGTCACAAAATTATGATTATTAACTAATAGTGATCCCTGGGTCTCTAGAGCCTGCTGCCTGGGCCATGATGGGGCACTGGGCATCACTGTTGAAGGGAAGATAAAGAAGCCTTCTAGGCACAAGGGGTCACTTTGTCCAGAGACAAAGCCAAGACAGACCTAAGCCTAAGTTTTCAGTGTGGGGCTGAGCCCAAGAGTCCCTGGCCTTTATAGCCAGTGTCCCTAGAATTGCCTCTTAGACCTGCTGAAGCCCCAGGAAGAATCAGCTTCTGCAGTCAGCCCAAATCCTACAAAGCTGGTCTAGGGTGTATATGTGTCCCCAGCCCTCACCCACAA